GCATCCAATGTTGCTCAAGTAACCTTTAATTTTGATAAGCATTTGTCAGCGCCTTTTTCTGCTTTTATCGGTATAGCACTTTCAATTTTTTTTCTGACGTCAATTGATGATCAGGAGGAATAGTTTAGGAACTACATAATTTTTTAAACTTTGCAAGCTCATTTATATTGACATTCTTTACTTAATGATGGAGGGTTTTTTAAACAAATATCTCATAGGAAAATTTGTCAGAATTTTTGTATTTATGTATTTTATTAGGTTCGTGTGTTAATTTTTTTTCGATCTTTTCTAAGTTTTCAAATTGTATTTTTTAATTCATGAATGGTATATGTACATGGTGTATGCATCCTATATCGTTCATGCAGCCTCTAATTTAAAAAAACAAACATTTGTATACTTTTTTTCATTTTTCTCAATTTTGCGTCTTTCGATTTTTTTAGGAACGCCAAATGAATCAGGAGGAAAAGTATTCTAGCTACAGCCTTCAAACATTGCATGATTCTTTTCATTGATATTATTTACAACATTCAAGAGGATTTTTTTTTATACATATCCAACTAGAAAAGTTTTATAACATTTTTACATTTGCTACCCCTAAAGAGTCTCGAATATTTATGTGACCCCCCCCCCCACATACATGCCATTTGTAACACTTCCAATAACTGCTGTGTGATAATCTTCTTTAAACTTTTTGTCAATGTTATTCTTAATGTGTATGCACAACTAGAAAAGTTTTATAACATTTTTACATTTGCTACCCCTAAAGAGTCTCGAATATTTATGTGACCCCCCCCCCACATACATGCCATTTGTAACACTTCCAATAACTGCTGTGTGATAATCTTCTTTAAACTTTTTGTCAATGTTATTCTTAATGTGTATGCCAAGTTTCATTATGATATTGCAATAAAAACATTTCCTTATTCATTTTGCGTAAAAGTCAAAATTGGTATAAAGTGTTAAATTTTTTGCAATAAAAGTCACAACAAATTTTGTTTAAAAATTAACTTTAGTGGTTTTTTGTCTTTCTGTTTGTGTATGGTTTGTATGTAATATTTTCTTTGTAATTTAGAAAAATAGAAGAAATAAATTTGACCCATGGGCCACCTTAATGGAACTAAAATAGACCTTCTGTCACTTTTTTATATTTTGTAAAATTCTGCTTCGGTTCATTTTTTTGTAATAAATTTGCATTTACATTCTTGTGACAAAACCTAAGAAAGGTTGCATTTGTTAATCAATGTTATATGTATAACTGGTTGTGTGAGCAAGAGATTTGAAAATCCAAATAAGTTATTTCAGAACAAAGAGGTATCAAAACTACACCCAAAATTCCACCCATGCTCTTATACTTATAACACAGTAATTGGCTCTATTTAGGTTATCAGTATTTTATTGTAAATGTGGCAAGACTTAGTTGCCTTGAAACCGAATTCCCTTCACAGATCACATAGTTGCCCCCCACTCTTTCAATACTTCTGTACGCAAATGAAGAAATGATACATACAATAGTTAGCTGTACGGGAACCAACAAGGAAGGCGAGAAAGTAAAAGGAGGCTAATGGCAAAGGTATGATGTGACCTAATTGAATGAGTTTATTGGCTGTCTACTCCATAATGGCCCCTAATTTATTTTAGGGATTACTTGAGTACACGACTCAAATAACTAACAACCAATCAAAAATTTTCTCAAGTCAGTTAAGGGTTTGTTTTTTTTCTATTAAATTTTAAATTATGTCCCAATGTGTTAGACCCAGTAGACAGATAGGGTAAAAAAAAAAAAGACTGAACCTCCAAAAACGAAGTCTCTTTCTCATGCTTTATACAATGGCATCCTTTAACTTTAAGATGTTCATTGTAACTACCTTGTGAATTAGGTCAAGTCAAATGAGAAAGGTTGTTGAAAGGAGATTCGAGATATCAGGAAAAACAGTCAGTGTCCACATGTATGACTCCCAGTGCCAAGGAAAAGGTTTAAAATTGGTGGTTTTGTTCTGACTAAGCCAAGCTCTCTAGAGGAATAGTTGAAATTTATTCATTATGAATGAAATTTTCATTATTTAGGATACCTAATTAATTCATAAAGTACTGTGTGATTAAATCTTTAAACTTAATACACATAAATAATCTTAAATAAAGGATTTAATTTTAATAATTAAATTAATATTATTACTTTTCTAAAATTCAAATGAAAACCATAAATGTATCTAAATCCTCTTCATTACTAGATATTTTTTTTTTAAATTGATCTCCGAAAATGGCTTAAACTTAAACTAAAAAGAAAATTAGAAAGAAAAACATCTACCGGTACTAAGAGAAATTAACAAAGCAAAAATTTAAAAAAGAATTAAAAAGAATAAAACTATGAATCTATGAAATAACAAGGAGAAAAAACAATTTTAAACAATAATTCTTATACTATTATTGTTGTCACACCCGGCTCCGAAGCCATTTAATCTGTACGGAGCCACTCCGGGTGCGAATAGTCATTGGCGCCTATCGGCACCCGGGTACCTATAGATGCAGCCTCTTGAGAGTGAGAGACGACTACGTAAAATACCGGCTCCTGACGTCACAACATCTGGCTATGCCCCAACGCCTGGGAGATTGTGTCATAACATAAAAATACACATTTTAGGCGGTCGTTTTTCCTTTATTTAAAACTGTTTGCACTTGAATGTCTCGGGTTCAATTCCGTAAATTTGACTTCTGGCAAAAGGACAGTCAACCTTTCCTTGGGGACCTGAGAGTTTGAACAAACGAATGTCCCCCTGCACCCTATGCAACCCGACACCCCCAACCCAATCGCTGACCAACCCCTTGTGGCAGTCTGCTGTGTCAACAGACCCGTGAACCAACGCCAATGTGTCAGGAGGGATCAGGAGCTTTCAGAGCTGACGGTTGGTCAGTCGGTCAACGCGAGTTGATTGGGTGTAAGTTTACTGCTGGTTTTAGGAACCGAAGAAATGAGGACGGAAGATGGGATGATGGGATGATGGGAGATGGGATGATGGGAGATGGGATGATGGGAGATGGGAGATGGGATGATGGGAGATGGGAGAATGGGGTTCGTTATGAAACATGGGTAATTTATTGTCAGAGAAGGTAATGATTGGTAATGGAGTTAATGATTGGTACAGACGGTAAGGAATGGTAGTGAAGGTAATGATTGGAAGTGAAAGTAATGATTGGTAAAGAAGGTAAGAATCGGTAGTGAAGGTAAAGATTGGCAGTGAAGGTATTGATTGGCAGTGAAGGTAATGATTGGTAGTGAAGGTAAGGATTGGCAGTGAAGGTAAGGATTGGAAGTGAAGGTAATGATTGGAAGTGAAGATCATGACTGTAAAACTTAAAATGTGGAGAAAATTGCTTGAACTTGCATTTGATTTTAATATTTTATGCAAAAGTCTTAACTTTTAAGTTTATCTTAATGTGCCCAATATTTCATACCTTTATAGACTTAACTATAATTTTTTTAAGTCCGGGAATGGCGATGAGCCAATGTGTTTCTTTCAATGGGTTTAACCCAAATTGTGTAACCCAATGTGTTTTACCCAGTGAGTTCACCCCGTGCGTTTGACCGGATGTGTTTAGCCTATTGTATTTATCTCATTGTGTTTAGCCCAATGCGGTAAACCCAATGTGTTTAACCCAACGTGTGCTGCAAATATGTGCAACCCAATGTGTTTAAAAGCCACTGTGTCTAGCCCAGTGTGTAGTTCCATGTGTGTAACCAATTGTGGTTAACACAATTTATCTAACATGATGAGTGTGGCCAAATGTGTGTAAATCAATGAATACAATCCAACGTGCTTAACACTCAATGAGCGTAATCCAATTCTGTGTGTAATCCAGTGTGCTTAAGTCAATGTGTGTAATCCATTGTGTGTAGCCTCGTGTGTGCGTTGGAAACAGCTGATAGTTACTGTCAACCAATTCCAAGCTGCCAACAATGAACACTTGTGTTGAGGATGACGTTCATATAAACGTTCTCTCCGGTTTAAGTTTCTGAGCTTCTCAAAGAGTTGTGCGGTTGTTTCTTTAAAATCCGTTCAGATCCAAAAGAGTTTTATCACGTTCAGGTCTGACAGAGCTCTATCACGTTCAGGTCTGACAGAGCTCTATCACGTTCAGGTCTGACAGAGCTCTATCACGTTCAGGTCTGACAGAGCTCTATCACGTTCAGGTCTGACAGAGCTCTATCACTTTCAGGTCTGACAGAGCTCTATCACTTTCAGGTCTGACAGAGCTCTATCACTTTCAGGTCTGACAGAGCTCTATCACGTTCAGGAATGAAACAGGAACTATATTTATAAAGCATTAAAGAGATGTCTTTGTCGTATTCGGGTGACCACTAGATTGGAAATAGACACTAACTTATTGTAAAATGACTGAAAATGATCATTAATTGTAAAAACTGAAAAGAACTATACACAGTGGCGTATCTAGGATTGGTGCGACCCATGACGGACCAATGTTGTGCAGCCCCTCTTCCACGAATCCCCCACCCGAAAATAACCCCCTTCATCAAAAATACCCCCCCCCCGGGACAGACCGCCCCTCCGACCCACCCTTCCCACGCCACTGACTATAAAGCACGATTAAAACCAAAATGGTTCGTGAATTGTAAACCCCCCCCCCCCCNCCCCTCCGACCCACCCTTCCCACGCCACTGACTATAAAGCACGATTAAAACCAAAATGGGTCGTGAATTGTAAACCCCCCCCCCCCCCGTACATTGATAATTTCGACTAAAACGTCTTTTAGGTACCTGGAATACCACACCGTCCTGTCAACTGCTCTCATCCGTGCACCTGAAAGACGTGCCTCTCACCCTAATTACCGGATGACTTGAAAGGCAACGCATCGCAAGTCATCCCCCAGTCCTTGAGAAGGCCCATCGGGGCTTTTTTGATGACACTCCAATCCGGCGGCCAATCCTAACAAGAGACTTAGTCAAGAATTCCTGGGCTGAGATCTGGGCGAATACAAAACAGTTTAGTCTTCTGCGCGACTCGAGTCAATGAGTTCGGACTGTGTCCATGAGAACACTGTGTCTGTGTGACGTGGGGCGCTGGTTGATCAATGTTTCCAAAAAGGACTGTTGTGTCTAGGAAGTGCGTATTCTTCATGACAAGGACCGTGATCACCCTCGAGATCTCATGAGGATCAGCTCGACAGCGTATTACAGTGTTATCAACGGAATTTGATTTGATAGATTTAAATACCACCAGTTCTTTACGGTGATGAAAAGATATCAAAGTGTTTTAATGCTAGATTTCAAAGCATCAGCTCCAAGTCAGTGTGAAATGTTGTCAAATATCTATGATCTGTCAATATCTATGATTAATTTCAAACTTAAACCTTTGGTTGTACTAGAAGCTCATCTCCTCACCATTAAAAACTGAGAGTTTATTATTTTAATTTTCTCATATCTAAATGTTGGCTTCTTGTTAGAGGATTCTGTCTGCCAAATTATTTCAACCAATTTATGAACACCAGTCATCAGCGCGGGCTTCATGTGACACAGTTGTTGTGGAATGCTGCTACAAAAGGGTAGGCATTGCTGGCGTTGATGACGGTGAAACGTCGCTCCCTCCCCAAAAGGTCCCGACATTTGCAGTTGGCCAGTTCTAAAGGACACCAGATTACGTGGACAAGCAGGTAAGCATGTACGCATGACATGAGTTAATGAGATTGACTTACTTTCAAGGTTTGTAGTTTGATGGCTTAACACCACTCACTTCCTGTTTGCTTCAGAGGTTCTTAAAAAAAATGAATGGGCCTAAAAAAATTTCATTTTTCTTCAATATCTGAGATTTAAATTTTTTATAAATGACAATTAAGTATGTGGAAATATAAAGGATGTTTGGGGAAATATATAGGATGTTATTTCGAATAGGTGACCAGAAATAGAAGCTTTTAAATAATCTAAGAATTCGATAGCATTATGAATTCAGTTTTTTGATTGGGTGCTGCTACTTATTATTGTTTTGTCGTGTATTTTACTCTCCCGTAATTTAAAGTACATTTTGTTTCGCTCCTGGTCAACTTTTGATTTTGAGACCAACGCCATGAAGTTCTATTTCTTTTATTTTGTCCGGTTGGCCGAAGTAGGCGTTGGGCCTAAGCGTCCATCCTATTGCTTTGTCCGGTTGGCCGAAGTAGGCGTTGGGCCTAAGCGTCCATCCTATTGCTTTGTCCGGTTGGCCGAAGTAGGCGTTGGGCCTAAGCGTCCATCCTATTGCTTTGTCCGGTTGGCCGAAGTAGGCGTTTGGCCGAAGCGTCTGTAATATTATTTTGTCTATCCTTCAAGATTTTCCATTTCTTTCTTCGCTATCCCCCCCCCCACTGTAGTCATTAAAGTGCATTGACAATATCTTACAAATCTCACTGTTCATGACATTGTAAGATATTCCCATAGTTTGAGACATGACTCCTAGTCTTCCCTTGCTGTCAGATATATTGACATTCATTACAAGCCATATGTGTACCTGTATGCAATGATACATTTTTAAAAACTAGCTTGTTGACAATGTAAAGTCTCCACACATATTTATGTATCCCCCCCAATTTTGTGACACATATACGCCCATGTGTTTGTAGTGATCAGAGTTTGTCCATGGTTGCGATCTGTGTCAATTTCAACATCGGAGGTCGGTGGGTGGAAAAGGGGGGGGGGACGGGGGGTAGGGATTATGTGACAGAATGTTTACCCTCGAGAGTTCGCCTCGTCCCAGGGATGTCAGTGTTGTACCTGGCTAAACAGTGCTCGCATATTACGACAGTCTGTAACCTATTACCTGTGAGCAGACACCTACCTGTGCATAGTCGTGCACCTTTAACTGTAGTCTACCCTGTACTTGTACTTGCACCCAGACAACCATGCTTGTACCTGTACCTACACGTGTACATGTACTTATGTATGCAAATATATATATGTGTGAATGTTCATATATGTGCACAGTAATTATTAATATATACATTTAATTGCACCTATATCTTCACCTAAATCTATACCTGTACACAGACCTACACATACATCTGTACCTGAACATAAACATATACCTAAACGTGTACCGGTACCTATGTGTGCACCTATGCGTTGCACCTATAATTATAAGTTCACCTATACGTATTCCCGAAACTTTATATGCACCAATTATCTCTCATCGTCACAAACTATCTCAACGTGTCAACAAAATCTCACCTTGTAACATATTATCTAACCTTGTCAGCCATTATCTCACCTTGTCATCCCTTATCTCACCTTGTCAGCCATTATCTTAACTTGTCAGCCTTTATCTGTATGTGTCAGTCTTAATCTTACATTGTCAGCCATTATCTTAACTTGTCATCCATTATCTCTACTTGTCAGTCATTATCTTAACTTGTTAGCCATTATCTTAATTTATCAGCCATTATCTTAATTTGTCAGCCATTATCTTAAACATTCAGCCATTATCTTAATTTGTCAGCCTTGATCTTACCTTGTTAGCCATTATCTTAATTTGTCAGCCATTATCTTACCTTGTCAGCCATTATCTTAATTTGTCAGCCTTAATCTTATCTTGTCATCCATTATCTCAACTTGTCAGCCATTATCTTAACTTGTCAGCCATTATCTTAATTTGTCAGCCATTATCTTAACTTGTCAGCCATTATCTTAATTTGTCAGCCTTAATCGCACTTTGTCAGCCAATAATTGAACTTCACTGCTCCAGACATCACTGCTTCTCGGGTCCCGGTACCATTGCTTTGTGTGTCCCGACAGCATTGCTTTGTGTGTCCCGACAGCATTGCTTCGTGTGTCTCTATCAAAAGTCTCTCTACAGTGGTGTGACCAAAGAGACGGTGGCATATAAAAACAAGGACACTATGAAAAGACCGCAGGGCAACCTTGTGACCTTGACCTTAGTCAAGAAACCAATAATAGAGTGATCTTATCTTTTCTTGCTGTTTAAATGGCGTTTAGAAACGAATCTCTGAAGTGATCAAGAGACAATATATAATATATATAGATATATTTAGTTTTGCAATCAGGGGAATATCATATATTAATATTTTATATATTTTAATTTTTTTAGGAGAAAAAGTGACCTAACATGTGTTCAAGCATAATTTCATAAAATATGAATCTAAATTCATTTCTGAACAATTAAATATATAACATGATGGACATTTATAAGCTACTCTTTTTGTGGTATCCCATTATGTGAGATGACCTAAGAAAAAAAAAATGTCCCAGATAAGTGCCCTAACATGTCTTAGATAAGTGCCCTAACAAGTCTTAGATAAGTGCCCTAACATGTCTTAGATAAGTGCCCTAACATGTCTTAGATAAGTGCCCAAACATGTCTTAGATAATTGCCCTAACATGTCTTAGATAATTGCCCTAACATGTCTTAGATAAGTGCCCTAGCATGATCTTAGATAAGTGCCCTAACATGTCTTAGATAAGTGCCCTAACATGTCTTAGATAAGTGCCCTAACATGTCTTAGATAAGTGCCCTAACATGTCTTAGATAATTGTCATAACATGTCTTAGATAAGTGCCCTAACATGTCTTAGATAAGTGCCCTAACATGTCTTATATAAGTGCCCTAACATGTCTTAGATAAGTGCCCTAACATGTCTTAGATAAGTGCCCTAACATGTCTTAGATAAGTGCCCCAACATGTCTTAGATAAGTGCCCCAACATGTCTTAGATAGTGCCTAACATGTTGACGAGCTGTTGAAGCTGTTGTGTTGTGTTGTGTTCATCCACTCATGACGATAAGTGTCGACTTGTTTAGGCTAAGTCGTTCACTTCCTCCCATGAGGCAGTATATCTGATAGCAACAGTAACAGCCATTAATACAACATACACTAACAGGTTTTTGCAAAATATCAGTTTATTTGACAACAGTTCCTTAACTATGGTTGTTATATAATTTCAGATTAATAATCAAATCGTTCCAGCCAAAACACTCAACAACACACAAGTCCAAACCTTCAACAACACACAAGTCCAAACACTCAACAACACACAAGTCCAAACACTCAACAACACACAAGTCCAAACACTCAACAACACACAAGTCCAAACACTCAACAACACACAAGTCCAAACACTCAACAACACACAAGTCCAAACACTCAACAACACACAAGTCCAAACACTCAACAACACACAAGTCCAAACACTCAACAACACACAAGTCCAAACACTCAACAACACACAAGTCCAAACACTCAACAACACACAAGTCCAAACACTCAACAACACACAAGTCCAAACACTCAACAACACACAAGTCCAAACACTCAACAACACACAAGTCCAAACACTCAACAACACACAAGTCCAAACACTCAACAACACACAAGTCCAAACACTCAGCAACACACAAGTCCAAACACTCAGCAACACACAAGTCCAAACACTCAACAACACACAAGTCCAAACACTCAACAACACACAAGTCCAAACACTCAACAACACACAAGTCCAAACACTCAGCAACACACAAGTCCAAACACTCAGCAACACACAAGTCCAAACACTCAACAACACACAAGTCCAAACACTCAACAACACACAAGTCCAAACACTCAACAACACACAAGTCCAAACACTCAGCAACACACAAGTCCAAACACTCAGCAACACACAAGTCCAAACACTCAACAACACACAAGTCCAAACACTCAACAACACACAAGTCCAAACACTCAGCAACACACAAGTCCAAACACTCAGCAACACACAAGTCCAAACACTCAATATAGTCCAACCGCCATCTCTCCACCATAACAACTACCCCTTACCCAAATACGTCACAACACTCTCACACAACCGTTACAGCGACACATGGCATCTCTAAACTTAACATCTTTTACATACCAAACATAACAACAGTGATCTACACATCAAAACAGTGATTCTCATACACTTGCCTTAAAATGTCTTAGATAAGTGCCCTTACATGTCTTAGATAAGTGCCCTAACATGTCTTAGATAAGTGCCCCAACATATCTTAGATAAGTGCCCTACTTTTTCTTAGATACGTGCCATGACATGTTTTAGATTTATGTGTAGATTTAGTCTTGAGTACACTAAATTACTCTTTAGAAATTAATAAACAACTGGGGTAGTTGAAGACTGTACCAAGGAGATGGTGTACAATTTTTGTGCAACTTCTCCCGAAAGACCTTTTTATTGTTGATCATGTTTAGACCAAACCCATAGCAACCTTTCAACTTAAGACCGTCTGACTCATAATTACGACCTTTCAACTTAAGACCGTCTGACTCATAATTACGACTTTCAACTTAAGACCGTCTGACTCATAATTACGACCTTTCAACTTAAGATCGTCTGACTCATAATTACGACCTTTCAACTTAAGACCGTCTTACTCATGATTACGACCTTTCAACCTTAGACAGTATGACTCACAATAAAGACCTTTCAACAGAAGACCGTCTGACTCACAATGGTCACAAATTCGGTCCGTGATCTCATTTCGAAATGGCGATCCTAAAATTGTATTTCTATTTTTTTAAGAAAATACGAAAGAAGTTCTATTTTGGGGAATGACTCAACAGATTTAGAACTACCGAAAAAGTTGATGTTACAAAAATCAAGTTTGGTTGAGGAAATTTTTCTTTGGCACTAAATTAAACATTCCCTGGCCACTTCCGTGAACATTTGGTCTCATGACAGCTTTGGTGGGATGTTCTTTTATTACAGTAATATTTATGATATATAGAATTCAAAAATCAGGAGCGTCGAAAATCTGGACTGCCTAATAGATTGCCAAATGGATTGCCTAATTGAGTGCCTAATAGATTTCCTAATAGATTTCCTAATAGATTGCCTATTGGACTGTCTAATAGAGTGCCTAATAGCTTTTCTTATGGATTTCCTATTATATTTCCTCATAGATTTCCAAATGGACTGTCTAATAGATTTCCTAATAGATTGTCTAATAGATTGCCTAATGGATTGCCTAAAAGATGTCCTAATGAATTTCTTTTGGATTTACTAATAGATTGCCTAATGGATTGCCTCACGAATCGCACCACGATTTAAAGTGAGCACATTCGCATCTCGAAACCAAACCACAAAACTTTAATGGGAACTGCCATGACAGTAACCTCTGACATGTCACGTGGTCTAAATTTGACAATCGACTAAATATGTTCATATGCGGGTTTGTGAATCAGGATTCAAATATGAAAGCGGGATACGTGTGTATGTATGTGTGTGTGTGTGTGTGGGGGGGGGGGGGGGGTCAAACCATCAAACCACAATTGGTTTCAGAGAGAAGGGAAGTTTTACTGTACTTGCCATATTGCTTGCCATAAGCATGGAAAACATTTCAAATACAGTCAATGACGTAATTGTTAAGATTTAAACAAATTTAAATAATTCTGAGACTTTACTATTGACGTGCTAATTGGATTGTATAACTAGGTCATACCTTACACACCTTGGCTCTCACGTGGGCAAAAAAAAAAAANATCTGAGGAAGCGGTGGATTCCCAACCCCCCTATCCCGGATAGGTCAGCCTAACCTGAGAATCCCCCCCCCTCCCCCCCCCCCCGTGGTTTAGAGGACAAAGCTGCACCCCTCTTAAATCCCCGACTCGTGTGCTAATGATCTTAAGAGCCTTTGGACCTCTGTGCCGGCCTTTGAAGGTATGTTACCTCAGGTGCCTGGTGTTGGAGCCGACCAGAGATGACCTTGTTAGGTCTCGGTTTAAGTCATTAACATTTTTTGGTTGTTTAAAATGTCATCTCCCTTGGCAACGTTCGGGATTTGAAGAGAAGTTAACTACTCAACACAGTTACAACGAGCTGATAGTTACTGTTATGGCTTAAGTTATAGCTTTAGCTAGGGCTTTAGTTATGGCTTATCCCATGGCTTCAGTTATGGCTTTAGTTATAGCTTTATTTATGGCTTTAGCTAAAGCTTTAGTTGTAAATTTAGTTATTGCTTTAGTTATCGCTTTGGTGATCTGTAATGGCTTTAATAATGGCTTTAATTATAGCTTTAGTTATGGCTTTAGTTATGACTTTAGTTATGGCTTTAGTTATGGCTTTAGTTATGGCTTTAGTTATGGCTTTAGATATGACTTTAGTTATGGCTTTAGTTATGGCTTTAGTTATGACTTTAGTTATGGCTTTAGTTATGGCTTTAGATATGACTTTAGTTATGGCTTTTGTTATGGCTTTAGTAGTGGCTTTAGTTATGGCTTTAGTTATGACTTTAGTTATGGCTTTAGTTATGGCTTTAGTTATGGCTTTAGTTATGGCTTTAGTTATGGCTTTAGTAATGGCTTAAGTTATGGCTTTAGTTGCGGCTTTAGTTATGGCTTTAGTTATGGCTTTAGTTATAGCTTTAGTTATGGCTTTAGTTATGGCTTTATTTTTGGCTTTAGTGATCTGAAATTGACATCTGCCAAATATTTTTTTTAAAGAGTCACTACGTATAATTTTTTAGAAAAAATTCAGTATTGACAAAATTCATACCTAAAGTAATTATAAATAATACATACATACTTCTGTATTTGTATTTTGTGTATTGTGTTCGTGCATGGGCCTAACGCCCAAAATTCAAATATTTGTTGCATGTTTTGTTTGAAAAAACGGGCTGAAAGTTGTGTTGTTGTTTTTGTCCACGTCTTGATTAGCAACTTGTTGTTTTTTGGAATATCATCTCATGCATCCTGATCTACTCTATGCTGCTTTGTGATCCTCTTCCTCCCTCTTTCTTTCTCTCTCTCTATCTCTCTTTCTCTTTCATTATCTTTTTTTTTTTTTTGCTCCTTTACTTTCGTTCTCTCTTTTTCAATATTATGCCCCTCTACCCCCCCCCCCTAAATACCTACTTATTCACCAAGCTTTAAATTCCACTACCCACCTATCTCTTCACCTACCTACCTACTCACCCACCTATCTCTTCACCTACCTACCTACTCACCCACCTATCTCTTCACCTAACTACTATTCTCTATTCTGCTATATACCTATTTAATATGTATTTATTCACATTCCTACCTATTCACCTACCAACCTACCTATTCACCTACATACATATTCATAAATCTACCTATTCACCTATCTACCTTCTCACATATCTACCTATTCACCTACTACCTACTCACCTACTACCTACTCACCTACCTACCTATTCACCTACCTACATATTTACCTATCAAGTACGAACCCACTGTCAGGCCTTTAAATCGCCTCCACCATATTTAATACAATGGGATTATTTTAGGTAATTTTCGTTCTTTTTTATTGGTCTTCTTCTTCTATATCTTAAGGGCCCACGATCAATTTATTGATCATTTTGTGTATGTTACCCATATTTTGTAATACCCATATGTTCATGTTACCCATATTTCATATTAACTGTTACCTACGTGCACATGTTATCTATATGCATATGTTACCCATATGTTCATGTTACCCATATGTTCATGTTACCCATATGTTCATGTTACCCATATGTTCATGTTACCCATATGTTCATGTTACCCATATGTTCATGTTACCCATATGTTCATGTTACCCGTATGTTCATGTTACCCATATGTTCATGTTACCCATATGTTCATGTTACCCATATGTTCATGTTAACTGTTACCTACATGCACATGTTACCCATATGTTCATGTTGCCCGTGTGTTTGACCTAACATCTCTCAGGATCTTCCAGTGGGCCACTGTTAGAAAATCCTTGAATGATTCACCATTAAAGAGAGTGCTTTGACTGCAAGGAATGGCAGGCTGCTCTTTTTTTTTGGTTGTTTTTTGTTTCTGCAAAGTTATTTTAAAATTGTCCTATTTTACAGTTGTCCTACTTTAAAATTGTCCTATGTTACAGTTGTCCTACTTTAAAATTGTTTTATTTTACAGTTGTCCTAGTTTAACATTGTCCTATGTTACAGTTGTCCTAGTGTAAAATTGTCCTATATTATAGTTGTCCTAATTAAAAATTGGCTTATGTTACATTTGTCCTACTTAAAAATTGTCCTATTTACAGTTGTCCTAGTTTAAAATTCTCACGTTTTTCATGTGGCTTCTACGCCTTGTGTTTCATAAGCTGATAATGAATCTTGAAAATCTCACCAGTCCACTGGTCAATCAAATGAATGAAATAGCAAAACGAGGTATGTGGAAGCTTGAAATAAGATGACAGGACAAAAAAACAAGGACGTTTCGGCATAAAGCCTTCCTCAGCCAACAATAGAAATGAAAATATAACAAAGAAAAGAGCACGGTAGACAACTCAAGAAGCTTCCATTCGCTTCCCGTCATCCTACCGAAATGAAATTTGTCAAACGGACTCGTTGCCAATGACAACACACTATTTCCAATGTTCAGCTCAATCCTCACACCGAGCCCCCTAAAATCAGTTTATCCCGTTTTCAAGAGGGAAGCTAAGTGACCCACTACCCGTCCTACTATTGAGCTGAACCTAGGCACATGGACTCTTTGCGATGACAACACATGCTATCAAATCTTCATACCCAATCCTCGAACGTCTCTTGAAGTGTGGGTTTGGGGGGGGGGGGGAGGAGAGAAGAGGGGGGGGGGAGANAGGGTGATTAACCTCAGGGAACAAAATTAATGTTTGCACCCACCTCCCATTTTGTACTCTAAAACACATTTGTTTCAACCATTCGTTTGTTTCAATATTGGCTTTCCTCATGCTTCGTTTGCAAACGTCAATAAATCTCAGGCGTGGCCGTCCAATATGTCTTGCCCACCCTGCCAAAGTTTATTTGAAAATCACGCTTCATCCCGAAAGGCTCGAAGCGTGGTACAAAGTTAACCATATTAAAAGAGAAATGAAAAAAATCTATATTATACCATATTGAAATACAAAACGCAAGATTACACAAATTTTTGGGCCATCAAATGCGAAAGTGCGCCTCCTGTAAGTCTCAAGGTGAACACGTGGTATCGAGAGTTTTGCCACTATCGGATGAGCGGAGTTGTCTAGTGGGTACATAGGTCGTCACGAGCGCTTTGAGTTAGGACGGTGCCAGGTCATGCAAGCAGCGATAGAAAAAAGTTGCAATTTTGCACTCTATGCGACCATGCAGCCAATGCAGCTCTCTCAGAAGTGTTTTAGCATGGTCGAAATTGTGTTTTCGAAGAACAATGCGAGCCGCGTCAATCTGTGCTTTTTGAATTTTATCCTGGAGCGCAGCTGGAAGACCCACAATAAGAGCATTGCAGTAGTCCAAGCGTGATAGCACGCATGCAGACATCAGTTTACATAAATGCAAATGGAAATGAATATAAAGGCTTTATATTTGTAATAACGTTCTTTTTAATGATTCAATGGACAAGTTTTATTACTTTGATTGGCATCGAGCTGGATCATTGAAAATTCTCCTCATTCGAATGCATCATTCAAACATGACTAAGAAGTGTATCATACACACATGGCATTTATATAATTCAAACACGACAATATGTATCATACGTCTCATTGGAGATGGCGCCGGTGGGTCGTCAAGCTTGAGCTCTTAATACCCCCTACCCCCGGTTTCCCCGTCGCCAGACCGTGCGGAAGCACGCCGGAGACCTAACCCCCCCCCTGGCCTGGGAGACGTCCGGTTGACTGAAAACGCTGCATTTAAAGCGTTCACGGTCCACTCTCCTTGGGTCTGAACGTTTTTGCTTCCTCTCCAGGGAAAGGTGTTGTGTTTATTCCCCCCCCCCCAACCCCCCAGGGAGTTGTCGGAATGTAGCGGGGACGAAACGGTCGCCTAGGAGCGGCTTTCTCAAGGCCGCGTAGATGAGATGCATATGTATCATACAGACATGACAATATGTATATTCTAATGTATGATCCTACGCGTCGGATAAAATTATGCACATAGTCATTTACAACAAAGAAAATATGTACTCCGAGACTACAATCATTTACAAAGTATAATATTTACACAAAGACTATCATAAATGAATTCATAGAATATTTACACAAAAATATTATAATTAACAACATATAATAAATACACAAATACTACCAACATTGACAACATAGACTACGTACACAAACACTACCAACACTGAAAACATAGCCAACGTACACAAATACTACCAACACTGACAACATAGACAACGTACACAAATACTACTAACACTGACAACATAGACAACGTACACAAATACTACCAACACTGACAACATAGACAACGTACACAAGTACTACCAACACTGACAACATATACAACGTACACAAATACTACCAACACCGACAATATAGACTACGTACACAAATTCTACCTACACAGATTACGTACACACTTACTACCAACTTAATAAAAATAATAATAAAGTTTATTTGACAATCACGATTCATCCCCAAAGTCTCGAAGCACGGTACAAAGTCAACCATTTTAAAAGAAAATTCAAAAAATCTATATTTTACCACATTGAAATACAAAACGCAGCATTACAAAAACTACATACGAGAATACCCATTCTAAGTCTTTCATCCCTTACAACCATAAACAACACAGGGCACTATACATCTAGGAGACTACAGCTAGCTGGAAAAGGTGGTAGACAACATCACCCCAACAGGTGTTTGCGAAATATACATGTTTTCAAATCGGTTTTGAAAGAATCCAACATAGACAACATTGACTACGTACTCAAATACTACCAACATTGACAACTTAGACTACGTACACAAATACTGCCAACATTGACAACATAGACTAAGTACTCAAATACTACCAACATTGACAACATAGACTACGTACACAAATACTGCCAAATTGGACAACATAGACTACGTACACAAATACTAGCAACATAGACAACATAGACTACGTACACAAATACTGCCAACATTGACAACATAGACTAAGTACTCAAATACTACCAACATTGACAACATAGACCACTTACACAAATACTAGCAACATAGACAACATAGACTACGTACACAAATACTGCCAACATTGACAACATAGACTAAGTACTCAAATACTACCAACATTGACAACATAGACTACGTACACAAATACTGCCAAATTGGACAACATGGACTAGGTACACAAATACTGCCAACATTGACAACATAGACCACTTACACAAATACTAGCAACATAGACAACATAGACTACGTACACAAATACTGCCAACATTGACAACATAGACTAAGTACTCAAATACTACCAACATTGACAACATAGACTACGTACACACATACTGCCAACATTGACAACATAGACTACGTACACAAATACTAGCAACATAGACAACATAGACTACGTACACAAATACTGCCAACATTGACATCATAGACTACGTACACAAATACTGCCAACATTGACAACATAGACTAAGTACTCAAATACTACCAACATTGACAACATAGACCACTTACACAAATACTAGCAACATTGACAACATAGACTACCTACACAAATAATAGCAACATAGACAACATAGACTACGTACACAAATACTGCCAACATGGACAACATAGACTAGGTACACAAATACTGACAACATTGACAACATAGACTACGTACACAAATACTGCCAACATTGACAACATAGACTACGTACACAAATACTGCCAACAATGACAACAATTACACCGTACACAAATACTACAAACATTGACAACTTATTCTATGCACACAAACAACGAACATCAGTTTAGTCTGAAAACGTGTACATCGAACATCTTCTCCAAAAACCTTTCCAACTGCACCATCCCCCTCTCCCCAACCCAATACTTTTGGGGTCCCTTTTTTCCCAGCGTGCCTAGAGTGCCTTTTGTCAACTTGTCCCCACTCCCGGGCTACACTCCCCGCCCCCCTCAGCACCCCCTCCCGTCAGCGGACAACTCTTCTCCAAACAAAAGAGCATGCAAGCCCTGGGATAGCTCGGTTTAATAAACGAGTGTAAACTAGACCCCTTGTGGGGCCCGGCCACCTCATTGGACCATCGCTGGACAGGCGTTCTGTGTATGCTGAGAGTCAGCTCAATGAGATGACCACGTGCCTTTGTTATTTAATCTCATCTGTGTTGTCCAGAACAGGCCATAATATTTGTATATACTACTTTGGTAAGTAGGCAGAACATTACATTATTTAGCTATACTAATTAGAGCAAATAATGCAACTCTTGCTGATCAAATGGTTTGTTGTTCCTAAATGCCTAGTATAGTTCTACGGAGTCAATACTGCATACTACAAGCCTAGTATTGTTCTACGGAGTCAATACTTCATACTACAAGCCTAGTAGTACTACGGAGTCAATACTTCATACTACAAGCCTAGTAGTACTACGGAGTCAATACTTCATACTACAAGCCTAGTAGTACTACGGAGTCAATACTTCATACTATATGTCTAATAGTACCTCGGAGTAAATACTTAATTAAAAAGCCTATTAGTACTACGGCGTAAATACTTCATACTCTATGCCTAGTAGTAATACTGAGTCAATACTTAATTGATTAACAGTTTTAAATGTATTCGAAACCATCATCATTTTGTAATGGTTACTGATATTAAGAAAATGTTGATACGGTAAAGCGATCTTTATATTCCGAATCTTGCCTTGTCACAACTTGAACGGTGCGTCCTTGCTCTGAAACGAGGTAATCCCTACTTAAATAATGTCAAACCGAAAATGATTTTGAACTGGTACATTCCAGAGAAAATGAGTAAAACAGAGTAGGGTTAAACCTGAAAAAAATAAACGCAACAAAACAGCGAACGTGTCGGTAGAAAGCCTTCGTCAGCGAACAAAACAACAGAAAAAACGGTATAAAAACAAAAATAAGAAATAACACTTAGCTGGTAAGTAGTATATGTGGGCAGCAATAGAAGTGTTTTTAATTTTAACCCATTCAATTCATGTACTGAGAATCGCTCAATCACATCGTATTTGTTATCAACGAAAGCTTTAGTTTCTCGGAATTAGAAAAAATTTACTTTGCTGTCACTCAAGAAAGTTACCAAACACTTCATTCGGCGTTTAATCATGGCCAAAACAGTGTTTTTCTGACCTAATTTCTGACGCATCCACCTTGAACTTTTAATACAGCATGCATTTGGATTGGTTCCATGTGTGGAAAAATTACGTGTGATCGGTTATCCTTTTATGAAAATCACGAGCTTACAAATGAACATACATTAATTCAATGAAACAAAACAAATGTAAAATTGACTCCACCCTTTCTAGAACCATTTCCAGTTCAAGTTGCGCATCACGATAATATTTAATTTCACGCCTCACAGACAGAGGAGTCCTTCGTGTCAACAGAAATAATTATTGATTTTTTAGGACTCCAGTGGAAACCAAATGAAACTAAATGTTAGGAAATTAAAAGTTGGGTAATAAAAAAGGAGGAAAAAAAGGTTCCTTTAGCGCAGAGGTGACCACAATAGAAATGAAACTCGGTCACCCAGGTCCAGAGGTGACCACAATAGAAATGAAACTTGGTCACCCAGGTCCAGAGGTGACCACAATAGAAATGAAACTCGGTCACCCAGGTCCAGAGGTGACCACAATAGAAATGAAACTCGGTCACCCAGGTCCAGAGGTGACCACAATAGAAATGAAACTCGGTCACCCAGGTCCAGAGGTGACCACAATAGAAAGGAAACTCGGTCACCCAGGTCCAGAGGTGACCACAATAGAAAGGAAACTCGGTCACCCAGGTCCAGAGGTGACCACAATAGAAATGAAACTCGGTCACCCAGGTCCAGAGGTGACCACAATAGAAATGAAACTCGGTCACCCAGGTCCAGAGGTGACCACAATAGAAATGAAACTCGGTCACCCAGGTCCAGAGGTGACCACAATAGAAAGGAAACTCGGTCACCCAGGTCCAGAGGTGACCACAATAGAAATGAAACTTGGTCACCCAGGTCCAGAGGTGACCACAATAGAAAGGAAACTCGGTCACCCAGGTCCAGAGGTGACCACAATAGAAATGAAACTCGGTCACCCAGGTCATTTCACTTTTAAGTTATGTTTGTGATTCTTTTTTTAGAAATGTATGGGGGAAAAAAATCTTATATTTATTGGATTTTAAGTGGTCGGATGGGGGTGGGTGGGGGAGGGTGTCCCCAACCCAGCCTTAAAGTCTCCATCTGCAGCTGGTATGATTGGTAGGTCGTGTTGACTTAGGGCACAGCATCCCACTTTGGGCTCTTGTTCACACTTCCAAAGCATTGACAGACTTGACCTCTTTAGAAGAACTCCTTATCTGACGGTGTGGATATCCAATCACTGTACCTGGCCAAAGGTTAAATGCCACTTTCAAGAGGTCAAATTTAATGACGCAGACACTGTCGTCAGTCACACTGGTAGCAGTTGCTGACTCCATCTAAGTGATAGTTTATTGACATGATGTTCATACCTAGTCCTCTTCTGGTTTGGTTCTTCTCCAACTTCTAAACCCTGCCTTCTTCAACCTTCTAAACCCTGCCTTCTCCAATCTTCTAAATCTGCCTTCTTCAATCTTGTAAACCCTGCCTTCTCCAATCTTCTAAACCCTGCCTTCTCCAATCTTCTAAATCTGCCTTCTCCAATCTTCTAAATCTGCCTTCTCCAATCTTCTAAACCCTGCTTTCTCCAATCTTCTAAATCCTGCCTTCTCCAATCTTCTAAACCCTGCCTTCTCCAATCTTCTAAACCTGCATTCTCAAATCTTCTAATCTAAACATTTCCTCATCCAATCTTGTAACCTTGTTTTCTCCAATCTTCTAAACCTTGCCTTCCCCGATCTTCTATTACTAGGTCAAACTTAACCACTCTATTAGTATGTCATCATGACACTCTGTAAGTAGGTCAAAGGTATTCACCTTACTAGTATCCCAGCCGTACGCGTCAGTTAGAGGGTTAAACTGAATCACGGGTAGGTCAAATTCAACGACTCACAGCGCAGACCAGTGTTTGTCTAGGGCTAAGTACAGGTCACATCATGTTACGGATTGCCTCTCAGAATAATTGAACTTCCCCAAACGCGTGTGTCATCTGTCAGGTACTTGAACACCGTAGTAGCCTCCCCTTGTTGTAGTTGTCAACATGTTGTAAAAAGCGCTGATGCAAGCCTATACACTTGGGACATTTGGACTCCGGCTCCGTCTTGATGACACTCAGCTCCGGAACGTAATTAACGTTTCAAAATGTTCACCAAGAATTGGATTTTGTGTACAAATTAATGTTGATATGAATGTACAAATTAATTTTGATATGAATGTACAAATTAATGTTGATATGAATGTATAAATTAATGTTGATATTAATGTACACATTAATGGTGATGTAAGTGTACACATTAATAGTGATATAAATGTACAAATTAATTTTGAAGTAAATGTACAAATTAATGTTGATATAAGTGTACAAATTAATGTTGATGTGAATGTTCAAATTAATGGTGATGTAAATGCAAAATTAATGTTGGTGTGAATGTACACATTAATTTTAATATGAATATACAAATTAATGTTGATGTGAATGTACACATTAATTTTAATATGAATATACAAATTAATGTTGATGTGAATGCACAAATTAATGTTGATGTAAATTTACAAATTAATGTTGATGTAAATTTATAAATTAATGTTGATGTAAATTTACAAATTAATGTTTATGTAAATTTACAAATTGATGTTGATGTAAATTTACAAATTGATGTTGATGTAAATTTACAAATTAATTTTGATGTAAATTTACAAATTAATGTTGATGTAAATTTACAAATTGATGTTGATGTAAATTTACAAATTAATGTTGATGTAAATTTACAAATTGATGTTGATGTAAATTTACAAATTAATGTTGATGTAAATTTACAAATTAATTTTGATGTAAATTTACAAATTAATGTTGATGTAAATTTACAAATTAATGTTGATGTAAATTTACAAATTAATGTTGATGTAAATTTACAAATTGATGTTGATGTGAACGTTGGTTTAAAAAAAAATTGTTCAAGCTAATGTTTTTATAAATTATTATTTGACTACCAACACTAGAAAAATGACATCACTCTTAGTACTAGAAAATATGACATCTCTTTTAGTACTCGAAAATATGTCAAGTTTCTAAGTTTATTCTTGGTGATTGACGACAATGACGTAACGGGGCGTGTCAGTCTGGTAATGACTCACTTTGAAAACCTTTTTTGGCGGAAAACTGGGTTATTTTCTTCGGGGAGTCTCAAATTGTTTTCTATGCAAGACCTGTTAAGCGTGAATGGTGATTAAATCAGTTGCTATTTTGTGAGGGATTGTGTATACAAAAGAGGGAGGCCACAGAAAAGGGGGAGGGGGCACACAAAAGAGGGGGTGGTCGGAAGCTAAGTAAAACGTATGTATTTTGATGAGCGTGTAGCTAAAAATAGATCATCAATACTTCTATCTATAGGTCACACTTGTTGGCAGCAGACTTTGTCAGCAATCGTGGCCTTAAGGCAAGGTTTTCGATTACTGTAGGCTGTGTAATGGATTAATATGTTGTTTTTTTTAGATTGGTACTGAAAAAAATTGGATTCGATACCTGTATTTATTTATAAATAAAACATAACTTAAATTTGCGGACCAAAAATGCGAAGTGATTTCCAACCTTTGACGTCATGGGGTCATTCGATATAGTCATGGAGGTATTTTAATCTAGTCATGAAGGTCCTTTAATCTAGTCAAGGAGGTCATTTAATCAAGTCACGAATGTCATTTAATCTAGTTATGAAAGACATTTATTTTACTCGTGTCCATGGCCAGTTCATTTTTCCCGGAGTCACACAATGTCTATTTAACTCTTTTGCTAAAAATACGTCTTGAGAACCCTTGTGTTTCAGGGTCCAGGTGGAAATCTGAAACACGCTATGAAACCAGACCCACGGTTTGTTGACCTAACATGCAAGCACAGCTCACTGTAACATTGACCCCCCCCCCTTTCCCCCGTGGGCATCCTCAGACACCCCCCCTCCCCCAACCACCGCGCGAGCATGGGATATTACAGATTCCATGTCTGTCTAATCCGTCTCAATATGTTTGATCATCTGACCGAAGGTAAATTTGATAGCCTCGTTTCGCTGCTAATTTGGGATCGGCAAAGATTGACTCTTCCCGAGTATCGCCCCTATTCGTGGCTTGTCTCCCCCTTTCACGGGGGACACCACCAGACCCCCTTTTGTCTGTGACGAGCTACCACCCTGTCCTGGATTGCAGTGACGCGACAGAGTGACGGAATTTGAACAAATGAAAACACAAGGTTAACAGGAAGATCCCTTTTGTTAAATACTCCCACAGAGCTTTGTGTCGTGCCACCATTGTCCGAGGCTGGTCTTGTAGTTCAGTCTATGCTGCTCAAAGGCGGTCTAGAGGAAATACTGCACTCCTGGACACTTTGGATTAAGCCTTTTTTGGATTTTGTGGAGCGGTGTGGATAATATGTTTTTGGTGATTATAAAATGGTGGTTGTTGTTAGTGATGGTATAGTCATAAGAGGTAGATTATCTCGGAAAGATTATCTCAGTTATTTGATGAATGATTAAATTTCATTCTTTTTTTAAGTTAATGTAGAGACTCAAATATAGATCTGAAGACAGGTCGTCTTATTTTATTGTGTGATAGCTAAGTTAACGTTAAGACAAACAAATTATAGATTTTAATACACGTCATCTTATTTTAATTTGTTTAGTTACGCTAATGTTAAGACAAAAATATAGATTTTAAGACACACCATCTTATTTTAATTTGTTTAGTTGAGTTAATGTAAGACACAAATATAGATTTGAAGACACGTCATCTTATTTTATTTTGTTTAGTTAAGTTAATGTTATGACACAAAAATAGATTTAAAGACACGCCATCTTGTCTCATCATGTTCTCGTTCCTTCCAAAAAAGTTGTATGATATCATTAACACCTTACTATCAGTGGTGTACATGTGTAAATGGTGTTCATGTTTCAATGTTGTACCTTTTTAAATGCTGCACATGTGTAAATGGTGTACGTGTGTCAGTTGAGTACACGAGTCAATCGTGTACAAATGTCATTAACGTACATGTGTCAATGGTGTACATGTGTCAATGGTGTACATGTGTCAATGGTGTGCTTATTTCAATGACGTACATGTGTCAATGGTGTGTATTTGTCAATGACGTACATGTGTCAATGGTGTGCATTTGTCAATGACGTACATGTGTCAATGGTGTACACGTCTCAATGACGTACATTGGTCATTAGCATGTCCGTGTTATGCGTTAAACGCCTTGAATGCATGCGGACACTAGGACTTTAACACATCTGACCGGCCATCTTTGGTGTTCTCGTTCATCAATAGACGCATGGATACAACCTTTCTTCTGACATCACTGAATTTTGTCCTCTGAATAAAAAAACATATCTTAAAGATGATCTGAAACAAACCTTAGAAAAACATTGATGTCCATTCCATTACATAAAAGCACGATTCATTTTATTTTTTTAATACATACATATATTATATGATCCAAATTCAAGTGTTAATATTACCATGGTTACTTACGGGATGGATCAGTACTAGTAACTCTACACTATCATTATACTATTTTACGTTGCCATGGTAATTGTGATTCTTCCTGATTTTCGTAATAAACATAAAGATAAGCAAGATCTAAGTTAAGAGTCAGGCATTGACAAAAAGGATACGTTAAGAGTCAGACATTGTCAAAAATGATACGTTAAAAGTCAGACATTGATATTCCCCCCCCTAATCTGGGCCGTGACGCATTTAAAAGTTGAAACTTGTGCACATCGGGATAATCTTCAACTGTGTTGGGACATGATGGGTGATTGCCTTGATGGGTACTTGTCTTGATGGGTGATTGTCTTGGTGGGTACTTGTCTTGATGAGTGATTGCCTTGATGGGTACTTGCCTTGATGGGTTTTACATTTATTTATACAATGACATTCCCAATAGCTTTCAATATTTATAAATTATAAGACATCCACCTTTACACAGCTTTCAGGCGATTGGTCGAATTTTATGGGGTGGGGAAAGGAGGTGGAGCAGGGAGACAACTTTAAATAATGTTGAATAAATTAAATCCATAAACTAAGAAAATAGGTGTTCAATACAGGACGTTACACACGATTTCATTTCTTTTTCAATCAAAAGGTATCTTGACAGTACTCTATAACAGCAAACTGGACAGTACTCTACAACAGCAAACTGGGCAGCACTCTGTAACGGCAAACTGAACAGCACTCTACAACAGAAAACTGGGCAGCACTCTAGACCAGCTAACAGGACAGCACTCTAGACCAGCTAACAGGACAGCACTCTAGAACAGCTAACAGGACAGCACTCTGGAACAGCTAACAGGACAGCACTCTAAAAGAGCTAACAGGACAGCACTCTAGAACAGCTAACTGAACTACTCCAGGACACCATGACATCAAATTGTTGGCGCACGGCCAAGTCTTGCCCATCAACTGACCAAGGGGCATCTTCTAAAGCCTCCTGTAAAGCTTGGTTTCGCTGTGAAACCGCGGGAGATTACGTCATCAGGTGGCGTTGCCACTCGGCAGACGAGGATCTCAACAACACAGGGCTGCCGTTCTCTCTGTGCAGCGACCTGGTGCAGACTAGAGACTTAACCGAGTGTCCCCCTCCTGTCGTGTGTGCAGACGACCCTTACCAGGACGGCGCACATGCAGTAAGTCTATCGCGAGCAACATACAAATGTCAATGGTCAACTGTCAATAGCTTTAAACAAACACACATTAACAGAGGCTTTATGTCTAATTGTATCAATGCCATGATAATATTTATAAAAAAAGCTGACTCTTGGGTTCTCAACCTGTTTTGATTTGCTAGTCTTCATTGTTTTATCAAAATATAACTCCCTTGATCGTCAGTGGTTCTCCTTCTCAAACCTTTTCCACTCATCACCCCTTAAGACCATAAACACATCCCTAACCCTAATCCTAACCCTTAAGACCATAAACACATCCCTAACCCTAACCCTTAAGACAATAAACACATCCCTAACCCTAATCCTAACCCTTAAGACCATAAACACATCCCTAACCCTTAAGACCATAAACACATCCCTAACCCTAACCCTTAAGACCATAAACACATCCCTAACCCTAACCCTTAAGACCATAAACACATCCCTAACCCTAACCCTTAAGACCATAAACACATCCCTAACCCTAACCCTTAAGACCATAAACACATCCCTAACGCCCAAACGTCATAGGTGGATTCAAAATGAAATGCATACAACATTAAAATACTATATATTTGTATATAATATATATATATATATATATATGTATACATTGACATGTATGGGTTTAAAAATAGAGTTGACAAATTCCATATCATTATAACGTGTTGATTGATTTTAAAAAAAAACAGAATTTAATAACAGATCCACTGAAGCATGCTACGGTTAGCAAATAGTTCAATGATGAACAGATGAACTGAAACATATTACAGTGAACAAAAATTTAAATACAACTCTTGTGTGGAGTGGTTGATTTTATTTGATGAAGATTACAGTTAATGATAAATCTGGGTCCTTATGTCCCCCTGCTTGTCACAGATGACCTTTATACACTGAACCCAATTACGCCCTTCACCCGAGAACTCTCAAACCACCCTTCAAACAAGAACTCTCAAACCACCCATCAAACAAGAACTCTCAAATCACACCTCACACAAGAACTCTCAAACCACCCATCAAACAAGAACTCTCAAACCACCCAGCAACCAAGAACTCTCAAACCACCCATCAAACAAGAACTCTCAAACCACCCTTCAACCAAGAACTCTCAAATCACACCTCACACAAGAACTCTCAAACCATCCCTCACCCATGAACCTTCAAACCATCCTCACACAAGAACTCCTTCAAACCATCCTTACACAAGAACTCCTTCAAACCATCCTTACACAAGAACTCCTTCAAACCATCCTTACACAAGAACTCCTTCAAGCCATCCTTACACAAGAACTCCTTCGAACCATCCCTTACACAAGAACTCCTTCAAACCATCCTTACACAAGAACTCCTTCAAAACATCCTTACACAAGAACTCCTTCAAATCATCCCTCACGCAAGAACTCCTTCAAACCATCCTCACACAAGAACTCCTTCGAACCATCCCTTACACAAGAACTCGCAAACCTCCCAGTTTCAAATCCGTTACTCTATCGTAAATATGAAACTTAAAATTAAGACAATTATGTTTGCAGAGATTATTTGACTAATTGCCTAAATCAGATAAGAAACATGAATATGTGGGCAACAGTTTTATCGTACCACATCCTTTACTATTTAGTTTTAGCTTTGGTGAAGCCTTGAAGCCAGTGGTTCTAAATTATTTAGCAGCGCCATGCCCCGTATTGATTTCGAAATACTCCCCCGCATCCGAACAATAAAATATACAAACAAACCTTGATTGTCTGCGGCCTCCCACATCTCCGACACTGCCTCCCACATCTCCGACTCTGCTTCCCACATCTCCGACACTGCATCCCACATCTCCGACACTGCCTCCCACATCTCCGACACTGCCTCCCACATCTCTGACACTGCCTCCCACATCTCCGACTCTGCCTCACACATCTCCGACACTGCATCCCACATCTCCGACACTGCCTCCCACATCTCCGACACTGCCTCCCACATCTCCGACACTGCCTCCCACATCTCCGACACTGCCTCCCACATCTCCGACACTGCCTCCCACATCTCCGACACTGCCTCCCACATCTCCGACACTGCCTCCCACATCTCCGACACTGCCTCCCACATCTCCGACACTGCCTCCCACATCTCCGACACTGCCTCCCACATCTCCGACACTGCCTCACACATCTCCGACACTGCCTCACACATCTCCGACACTGCCTCCCACATCTCCGACACTGCCTCACACATCTCCGACACTGCCTCACACATCTCCGACACTGCCTCCCACATCTCCGACACTGCCTCCCTCATCTCCGACACTGCCTCCCACATCTCCGACACTGCCTCCCACATCTCCGACACTGCCTCCTAAGGACCCAGATAACACTCATAATTACCAATTCTAAATGAGCAAAGCTTAACAAGGATTTTTGGTGAGCGAAAAAAACAAAACAACAACAACAGCAACAAATCCGTTACTCTTGTTACCGTAGATACCAGCAAAATGAATCAATGACAATTTGTGTTACCGTAGATACCAGCAAAATGAATCAATGGCAATTTGTGTTACCGTAGATACCAGCAAAATGAATCAATGGCAATTTTTGTTACCGTAGATACCAGCAAAATGAATCAATGGCAATTTTTGTTACCGTAGATACCAGCAAAATGAATCAATGACAATTTTTGTTACCGTAGATACCAGCAAAATGAATCAATGACAATTTTTGTTACCGTAGATACCAGCAAAATGAATCAATGGCAATTTTTGTTACCGTAGATACCAGCAAAATGAATCAATGGCAATTTTTGTTACCGTAGATACCAGCAAAATGAATCAATTACAATTTTTATTACAGTAGATACCAGCAAATTCAATCAATAAAAAGTTTGATAACTACGCATGCTAGCAAAACCCATCAATGACATTTATTACGAAGTTCATTGATGGAAATTCAGCTATTTTTAGTACCTACGTATTTTAGACGCCAATTCTATAATGAAATACCTAATTCCTTTTGAAGATTTGCGTCTAGAAAATAGTGTATGTTGTATGTTGCATGTTTAAATAGTTTGGCAGTTTGGTTGGCATTTTAAAAACAAAATTTTAATATAATAATTTTTTGTCAGCCTCTTATTTACTTATGTCTCAATGTTCTTTCATGTATTCATCTACAGACCAATGACCTGTCCACGGATGTCATACTGGCCATTGCTGTGGCGTCTTTCGCTGTCCTGGCCATCATGTTGATCATGGCTTCGACCTACAAATACTGTATGATGAGGAAAAGGTAAAAAAAACAAAAAAACAATACCACAGAAATGTTGTATTTGAAATAGTAAAAATGTATTAAAAAATTAAATTTTTAAATAAAAAAATATTTGGATTAAAAATTAAAAAAATTATTAAATAATTGACTTCTTTGGATTTAATAACCCTGTGGTATCATGGTAAATAACCCTGTAGTATCATGGTAAATAACCCTGTAGTATCATGGTCAATAACCCTGTAGTATCATGGTCAATAACCCTGTTGTATCAAGGTCAATAACCCTGTAGTATCATGGTCAATAACGATGTTGTATCATGGTCAATATCCCTGTAGTATCATGGTCAATAACCCTGTTGTATCATGGTCAATAACCCTATAGTATCATGGTCAATAACCCTGTAGTATCATGGTCAATAACCCTGTAACATCACGGTCAATAGTTTAAAGACTCCAAGGAGGAGCATCTGAGGGAACTAGCCACGAGAGGGCAGCATCCAGCAGTACATTGGTGGCGGGCTTTAGATAGAAATGTTCAGAACAGGACATGCCAGCTCACATTCGCCATTAAATCTTGATCCCTGACACCCTGTGGAGATAGGTGTTTGTTGCTTCTATCTGCTACTTTCGGAATAGTAGGTCATTGGTTGGGCAGCGTGTCATAGTTTGGGCAATGTGGTAATAGGGTATTATTACATGGTAATAGTTTGGGAAAGTGTGGTAATAGGTTGTGATTACATGATCATAGTTTTGAACAGTTTGGTCATAGGTTGGGATAGTGTGTAACCAGATCAATACTTTTAAGACTAAACTACTTATCCACTAATCCACTAACTCCCAATGGATTAAACCCACACATTGACTCTAGTCTTTCTTCCTCTTATTTTCCAGGTCTAAGCGCCGCCCGCCGCCCAGACAGTTCGTGATCCGAGACTTTCCCTACCCCGTGCGTTACCACAACCTGTGGGGCACGGGGCACCATCTCCATGACTACGTCAACAAGAAATCAACAAGCTCCCCGGTTTACGGGAGTCCTTACCCGGATGTAAGTCTCGTTAAAACTTGATTTCATCTCCAAGAAGATGTTGTCCCACAATCGCCTCAGTTTGAGAACTAATGTGAAAACTCATAATCTCTACTTTTCAAATCGACCAACGCCATTTTGTGTCATCATAGATTTGTTGAATTGGCAAGTAGACTGAAACAAAGCATAATTTATTTTACTCTCCCCGTTTGTGGTGGGGGGAAAAAGGGGGGGGGGGTAGAATGCGTGTCGATATTTTCTAAAGATTTTGAGATTCTCATTGAAAATCTTGTTAATTAGTCATCATAGATTTGTTGAATTGGCAAGTAGACTGAAACAAAGCATAATTTATTTTACTCTCCCCGTTTGTGGTGGGGGGAAAAAGGGGGGGGGGGGTAGAATGCGTGTCGATATTTTCTAAAGATTTTGAGATTCTCATTAAAAATCTTGTTAATTTGCTCTCTATTTATGTACAAGTTTTTTATGTTAGTTTAGAGCAAATAAATCAATAGAAAGTTATAGTAATTAGGGGCTACTCAGTGCACTACATGTGCTACTTAAAGACAAATTTATGTGTTTAATGTATGTTTAATGTTCATCTTAATGTACGATTGCATTTTGAAGATGAAGAAGTTGAGCGGTTTCATTGATGTGTACTACAGATGTTCAACGGAATTAACGTGTATCTTGTTCTTTGTGACCAGGTGTATTTCTCTCGACCCTACGAAGCATCCAGACAGTTTGAGAACCTCCTCACGTCATCGGACGATTCGATGGACAACCACATCGGAGAATATAACCTGGCACGCAACCAGCACGGACACTCCCACTCTCACGGCGGCGGGAAACAAAAATCTGACCCGTCGGTGGTGACCGGAAGCTTTGTGTTCCACCAGCCGGGCTCAGCTGGAGTGGGTGGGCTCAAGAAAGAAGCGAAGCGACAGGATGGGTGGGTCCACTCAAAGTCGGACAAGAAGGATGTAGACGGCGGAGACAACGCCGAATGCTACCACATCTACCGCGGCAATCTGAGCAAATTTCGCGCCACCGAACAAATGAGTGGCAGCACGCACCGTAGTTTCGTGAAGAAGGAGCACCACCATCGGGTATCTGATGTCAGCTCCGATTGCCCTCACGGTCAGCGCCTGACCTCGATAACTATCCCAAGCTTCAACCACAGCCTGCACCAATCTAAACATCACCACGACAAGATCAACAGAGAGCATCAGCTTCACCACGACAAGATCAACAGAGAGCATCAACTTCGCGAGGAACTCACCGAGAAGTTTACAATCCACAGCTTTGATAGCCGCAGCAGCAGCAGCAGCAGCAGATCAAGAGATTCGATTCCTCCAAGTGAAATGGGTTTCGTTGAGCACAATCCTCGAGCCTACGGGAACGGTCGCAGCAGCCGACACCCCCAGGCTAAAACATCAAAGCCACGCCACAGATCTCCCAGCAGTAACAGCCCTGACGTCATCAGCAGCCACAACTTCACCAACGCGTTCGTTCGTGTCGGAATGAACGTGTACCGGTCGCTGCACGGCAAGGCGAGCACTGCTGGGAGCAGTACCAACACCAAACACCACATCATCGCTAAAAACCTTCACACCACCAACAACCATCACTCCACCAACAACAACAGCATGGAACTTAGCTACGACAGCTTCAGGAACGAGCATCTGAGGGAACTAGCCACGAGAGGGGCGGCATCCAGCAGTACATTGGAGGCGGGCTTTAGACAGAAAAGTTCAGAACTGGACATGCCAGCTCACATTCGCTATTAAATCTTGATCACTGACACCCTGTGGAGATAGGTGTGTGTTGCTTCAGTTCAACGGAAGTATCACATTAGTAACCGTAGCATCGCAGTCTCCAAATCAAAGACTTCTCTCTAGCAATCAAAGAGTTTCGAAGTGACTGACCACACGACTTGCTGATGTAGTCATTCGACCAATCATAGCGGTTTCAAATGAGAAGCTGTCGCACAACTTTGCAATAACAATGTCAGATTTCTTATGTCATCTATAGGCACTAATGCTCGTGGTGACTGTGTCATCTGCACTAACACCAGTGGTGACCATGCCATCTATAGGCAAGAACACTAGAGGTGACCATGTCATCTGCACTAACGTTTCAGGCTCAATTCTTAACTTTCGTAGATCAAGCTGTTCATCAAAACTGCTTGATATAATCCCAGCCATATCTACTAGTAGTAGAGCTACATAATTCTAGTACAGCTACCTACTACTAGTAGAGCTACATAACGCTAGTACAGCTACCTACTACTAGTAGAGTTACATAATTCTTGTACAGCTACCTACTACTGGTAGGGCTACATAATGCTAGTAGAGCTGCCTACTACTAGTACAGGAAAACAGGACTGGCAGTTACAAGATTACTTTTTTTTTCTGCACAATTCCGGGTATATTAAGAATACGTCTGGACGCCAATGACCCCGTGACCTTGGATGGGCATATTCCTGTCATTAATATTCGACGGATGGTATAATTA